CTGAGCCATGCCAACCGCCAGGCTGCAGAGGCACAGAAGAACCTGAGAAACACCCAGGCAGTGCTGAAGGTATGGCACAATGTGCTGATTTTTGACAGAGCTAAATTTTTTTCCTCTGTTACAAGTCTTTCAGTTCTAAGTTGATGGGAAAACATGAAATACAAAAATAGAAAGCACACACCTCCCAGTCTGTTGTATCTCTCTTTCCAGGACACCCAGCTGCACCTGGATGATGCTGTGAGAGCACAGGATGACCTGAAGGAGCAGGTGGCCATGGTGGAGCGCAGAGCAAACCTGCTGCAGGCTGAAGTTGAGGAGCTCCGGGCAGCCCTGGAACAGACGGAGCGGTCGAGGAAGTTGGCTGAGCAAGAGCTTCTGGATGCCAGTGAGAGAGTTCAGCTCCTCCATAGTCAGGTCAGTTAATAAGCATAGTTAATATTTATAGTATTGCTCCATACATATAAATGAACTTACGACTGGAAGAGTTGTAACAGCATTTTGTTAAATGCAGGATCTTTCACAGTAAATAAGAAGTAATAGATGATAGATAATATCAAGTTTTTTTTTCAGATGTAGATAGAATATGAATTCCAAGTAAACTACAGTATAGATGCCTTAATAAATCCAGAGAAGTTTGTGAGGTTCTTACTCTTTTACTTGAGTTCAACCCATTTCAAATTTCCATTTGGGACTTTAAAGGCAAATGTAGGCTGATCATGAACAAAATTGGACTACATAACTCTGTCATTAATGTAATTTAACAATGTCACTATAAGTATTCTGTAGAACCATCTCAAAGTTTTATGGTCACTAGAGTGAAAATGGTAAGGAAAACATTTTTTTTTCATTTTTCAGTGTAAATTCCTTCTTTGTTGTCTGAGAAAAGACTTCTTAAAGGATGCTCAAGAAATACCAAAGCACATCATACCTGAGAAATTAATAGCTACAACAGTAGTTCTCTTGGAATCCAATGTGACCTGATGGCACAATCTACATTAAAAAGAAATACTTACGCTGTACTTGATATGTTACTGCAAGCTAACAAAAAAAAAATCATGTTCATGCTCTTCAACAGAACACCAGTTTGATCAACACCAAGAAGAAGCTGGAAACAGACATTTCCCAGATCCAGAGTGAAATGGAGGATACCATCCAGGAGGCCCGCAATGCTGAGGAGAAGGCCAAGAAGGCCATCACAGATGTGAGTTGGACAATCCTGGCATTGATTATGGTGAACGTACTCTCCCCAAAATATCTCCAGCCCCAAAATGGCTTTGACCTTTTGCTCTGATCAGGCGGCCATGATGGCAGAAGAGCTGAAGAAGGAGCAGGACACCAGTGCCCACNTTGCTTTCTTTTAAGTGTGGATTATTAATGCATCGTTTTCCATATTCTAAAACACAGGCCAACCTGGAGAAGATGTGCCGCACTCTGGAAGATCAGCTGAGTGAGATCAAGTCCAAGGAAGAGGAGCATCAGCGCATGATCAATGACCTCAATGCTCAAAGAGCTCGTCTGCAGACAGAGTCAGGTGAGACCCACTCATCTACATATGAAGATCCATAATGTAACAGAGTTATTGCAAAAATTACTCTTCTGGGCATGTGGTTTTTTCAGCACACTTTGTAGCACATCTACTGTGAAGTGCTTGAAATGGGATCATAAGTTTCAGCAGGGACGGAAAACTATCTAGTTTTACATCTCCAAATGTTTACAGTGTCACTATCAATGGCCTTAAAACTGTTGTGTATCTGCAAATTTTCTCAGGTGAATATTCACGTCAAGTGGAAGAGAAGGATGCTTTGGTTTCTCAGCTGTCAAGAGGCAAACAGGCTTTCACCCAGCAGATTGAGGAACTCAAGAGGCATCTGGAGGAAGAGATAAAGGTGAGAAGGCTTTTTCCTAAATATATTAAATCAGTTAATCAAAACAATGAAAGGGACAAAAATTACCCCTTAGATAACAGAGTGCAAGCTTTCCCATCGAAGCCTTGCTTCTCTTTTCTTGCAGTCTATATGTTAATTATTTTGCAAATTCACACATCTTACCCATCAAAGGTCTTTCTAAGATCTTCTCATTAAGATTTCCCAAGATATTTCCATTCATTTTCCCTCTGTTTTTTCTTCTCACCAAGGCCAAGAACGCCCTTGCCCATGGCCTGCAGTCCGCTCGCCATGACTGTGACTTGCTCCGGGAACAATATGAGGAGGAGCAGGAGGCCAAGGCAGAGCTTCAGCGAGCCCTGTCCAAGGCAAATGGTGAAGTGGCCCAGTGGAGAACCAAATACGAGACGGACGCAATTCAGCGCACAGAGGAGCTCGAGGAGGCCAAGTATGTAGGGAATGTGGAGAACACTGGCAGAGAGTAAGGACAGAAATTTGAGGAGCCCACCATGGCATTGTCAGGAAGAAATCAGTGTTCTGCTTTGAGTGCTGTCACAAAGAGACAAAATATGACAGAAAGCAGGGACACATTGGGGAAAAGCAGAAAGATCCAGAAAAGCAGAGAGAGGCCAGCAGAGAGGGAACTGCTGCAAGATTGTTCCTGAATTCAGACATGGAAATACAGTGGCTGTCTGGGAGAAGTCTTACACCTCTCTGTGAATGTGGATCACACAATATCAAGAGGCTATGTTTAGTCTTCTGAAAAATGTGCTGCTTCATGCCACAGTCTTACTTATGATTACTGCTTTCCAGGAAGAAGCTGGCCCAGCGCCTGCAGGATGCAGAGGAGCATGTTGAGGCTGTCAATTCCAAATGTGCCTCCCTGGAAAAGACAAAGCAGAGGCTGCAGAATGAAGTGGAGGACCTGATGATTGATGTGGAGAGATCCAATGCTGCCTGTGCTGCTCTGGATAAGAAGCAGAAGAACTTTGACAAGGTCTTT